CTTAAATAGGCCTTTAGTGATGTGGCAATGAGTTGTCAGGAGAAGGGAAGCATTCTATAGTCCTCTGATTACATCTCAGTCTTTTAGTGAGCCCATGCCTCTGGACTGAACTGTAGACACATTTCTTAGTCTCTTCCATTAGGTGGGACAAGACGACTAGAGTGGGGTGGTGTTGATGTTTCTCTTCCCCTAGATCTGTTAGGCTCTGATCTAATCCCAGCAGGTTAGGCTCTGGTTAACTAGTTTCCCCTGAGGGCAGGCCTTGTTAAGAACAGAGTGATCTGGGGCACCTGGGTGGCTCTGTTGGTTGAACGCTGACTTCAGCTCAGGTCATGATCTCATGGTTTGTTCCTTTGAGTCTCACATTGGCTCTGTGCTGACAGCTCAGAGCCTGGAGCCTGCTTCAGATTCTGTGTCTCCCTCTCTCTCTTCCCCTCCGCCGTTCACACTCTATCTCTCTCTGTCTCTCAAAAATAAGTAGACGTATATAAAAAAAAAAATAGTGCTCTGGCATATTTCAAAATGGTTTCTTTTTGTCTCCCCATGGTAGAAATATGGGGATTTTTCTGATATTTACACTGGGAACTTGATCAAACTCTTGGAAAGAGATCTCATAATATCGTGGGGCCCTCCCTATGACTAGATCCTCTGGAATTTTAAATTCTGAGTTAACTGCCCTGATCTTCTAACAGTTCATCAATTTACAGTTCACATTTTCCTACCCTGGCACCAGTTCGTTAGTGTTTTCTGTTTGCACACCTTCTGCTTTGATAACACATAACTCTGTGTATTTGCCCAGCCATCTTTCCAGTCTTGGGGACAACAGTTTGCCCTGTGTCTCTCCCTCTCTTATGGATCCAAGAAGAGTTGATTTTCCAGCCTGTTCAGCTTTTTACTTATTAGGATGGGGTGGTGAATTCCACGTTCCTTACATGCGGAACCAGAAGTTCTAAGACCATGTTTGTATGTTACCCAACTTATTTAAATATAGTCATAATGACCAGATTTTAAATGAAATTCTATGCTTATGACCAAAAATTCACACTGGTCAGTTTTGTCATCTGCCAACTATGTTTTGTTGTGCTATTTTTAAAATATTTTTTATAAGAGCTTAAACGAATGTACATTGTTTGAATATGTAATTTCATATTGATCTTAAGTGTTGGTCAATTTTCTTTTTAATATTGGCTTCCCTAATGATTTTATGTCTTAAGTTTAAATGATTTTATGACTTAAACCATAAATTTCTATTTCACAGCTTGAAATATACTTTATTTGATGTTTAAGATACAAAGATATTGTTAAACTGAATAGAAAATAAAGAAGAATATGGTACTGGCATAGGAATAGACATAAAGATCAATGGACTAGAAATGAGAATCAAGAAATTGAGAATCAAGAAATAAACACATACATTTATAATCAACTGATCTTCTACAAGGATTCCAAGGCAATTCAATGGGTTAAAAAGTAGCTTTTCCAACAAATGGTGTCAACTTGATATCCACATGCAAAACAAAGAAGTCACACCTTACCTCACACCATATATGAAGACCTAAATATAAAAATAAAACTATAAAACTCACAGAAGAATACATAATTAAGTCTTCCTGACCTTGGATTAGATAGTGTTTTTTTAGCTGTGACACCATGAGTGTAAGCAATTTAAAAAAAAAAAAATCAGTTGGATTTTATCAACATTAAAAACTTCTGTGCTTCAAAAGACATTATTAAGAAAGTGAAAACAACACACAGAATGGGAGTAAATATTTGCAAATTATACCTGATAAGGGTCTAGTATCCAGAATATATAAGAGAAAGGAGAAGGCAGAGAGAGAAGGAGACACATGGGACCCGAACTCACAAACTGAGACATCATAACCTGAGCTGAAGTCTGACACTTAATCAACTGAACCACCCAGATACCCCTATAAAGAAGTCTTAAAATTCAACAACAAACAGTGCAATTGAAATGCAAAATAGCCTCAGAAAGATAAGAGCCTGGCCCTTCTTCCTCTTCATCCTTAAATGTAAACCTGCTGGAAAGCCTCTGCATGGTGATGGTTTTAGACTCGTTTGTTAAAGGAGATGGGACATGTTGGAGACCAGCAAAGTACTGCTGGGTAAGGTTAAGTCTCTTGCTGTGTCCCTCTTGACATTAGCAAGATGAATCTTTTTTTTTTTTTAGCTTATTTATTTTGAGAAAGAGAGAGTACATGCAGACTTGAGCACAGGAGGGGCAGAGGGTGAAGGAGAGAGAGAATTCCAAGCAGGATCTGTGTTGTCTGCACAGAGTCTGACTTGGGGCTCTATCCCAAGAACTGTAAGACCTGAGCTGAAATCAAGAGTTGGATGCTTAACTGACCACCCAGGAGACTTACAAGATGAATTTTTAACAGTCACCAGCTGAGGCGAGGTGATCTTTTTTTCTGTTCTTAGCTATATAAGCATAATTAATGGATAGAGTTAAAGGATCTGAATAATGCCAAAAGGCCTTGGATCAGTGGCAATAGTCCACTAAAAAAATTATCTAAATTCATTATTTAATAGCAAATTGCTAATTGATATATAAAAGTCTCTAGATGTTTAACAACTTTGATTAAAAGGATTTAATCATGGGACACCTTGGATGGCTTAGTTAGTTGAGCGTCCGACTTTGGCTCAGGGGTCATGATCTTGCAGTTTGTGAGTTCAAGCCCCGCATCAGGCTCTGTGCTGACAGCTCGGAACCTGGAGCCTGCTTCCAACTCTGTGTCTCCCTCTCTCTCTCTCCCTCCCCCACTCACACTGTGTCTCTCTCCCTCTCAAAAATAAATAAACATTAAAAAAATTTTTTTAAAGGGTTTAATCATAACTTTTGAATGTTAAAGTCCGTGAGTATAAAACAATCTCTGTGAATAGGTTCTATTGAATGGTGAACTTGCCTGTGAAGAGTACTAATGATAGCTAATAGGATTTATTTATATATGCTTTTTTATTTACAGAACTTGAATTTTTAAAGTATCATAAATACTTAAAAAAGAATCTCTGGATATGCATCATACATCAGAAGGATAGAAAGGAAAGGGACCTGCCACACAAGTTACAGTGACTTGACACCAGTAAATTTAAATAAATTTAAACAGTAACTAGAATGGAATTCTGAGCTATGGACCTAGTCAACTCTCTCTTCACACAGGTAAGAGGATGAAATTTCGCCCAACATGGTTTGTCATTATTCTTTTTCTCAAATGTTACCTACCTGGCAGTCTACTTCCATGAAGTCAATTCCCCACAACCTCAGGCCCCAAGGCAAGCTCTCCAAGTCTGTTGGGTTGCTTTCTCTTCCCACATGAAACTACAAAAAAACAAACCAAAAAAACAGTCCAGATTACCATGCTGTGTCCATAAAATAAATCCCTGTTTACCTTCTGGGCCAACCCACTCAGTGCCCTTTACAAATCTTATCTATACTGCTTATAGTCATCTTGTTTACTTTTGTACCTTATCTTCTACTACAGACAAAGTCAGTGGTGTATTTATCAGCCTTTCTTTCCTTCCCCCTTCACACTGAATGTCTCTAGAATCTCTAATTTAGAGACTGGAATTAAGAAATTACATTAAACCAGTGCTGCATTGCTTTTTCAAAAGAAAGGCCTTAAAGTTGACTAAACATAAAAATGGGCTAATTTGGGGGCACCTGGGTGGCTCAGTCAGTTAAGTGTCTGACTTGGGCTCAGATCATGATCTCATAGTTTGTAGGTTCAAGCCCGATATTGGGCTACGTGCTGACAGCTTGGGGCCTGGAGCCTGCTTTGGATTCTGTGTGTGCCTCTCTCTCTCTGCCTCTCCCCTGCTCATGCTCTGTTTCTTTCTCTCTCAAAAATGAATAAACATTAAAAAACTTAAAAGAAACTGGCTAGTCCCTTTTGAAAGGGACTTTGTAATTGTGGAAGAATGTAAAAAGTCCTAAGGCCTCTTGGTAGTGAATTAATAATGAGTGGATACAAAGAAGAATAAAGATTCAGATTTTTGTAAGAAGATCATTATCATTAATTTGCATGCCATGAATGAAAAATAATCAAATCAACCAGACTTTACAATGAATTTCACAATGAAATCTGATTTTTATCAGATAACATTTTTTTAAAATCACAAGCACCATCTTATACACAAGACTTCCAGCTGATGTGCAGTTAAAATATATATATTGGGACACCTGGATGTCTCAGTCAGTTAAGTGTCTGACTTTGGCTCAGGTCATGATCTCGCAGTTCGTGAGTTCGAGTCCCACATCTGGCTTGCTGCTGTCAGTGTGGAACCTGCTTCAGATCATCTGTACCCCTCTCTCTCTGCCCCTCCTCTGCTCATTCTCTCTCTCTCTCTGCTCTTACAGAGCAGTTGTGCAGAGTCCTATCTGATACTCCACATCTCTCATCTTCATCTCCCCCTCTCAGAGAATCTTCTGGGGGCTCCTTCTTGATGTCCACTCTCTGCACTGTCCCTAGAAACTCTCAAAAGACAGTAAGTTGGGCCAACTGCAGAACCCACTCACCTTGCCCCCCTTTTCTCAGGGATCATTGTTCTCCATTGCCTGATGTCCAGTGCCTTGAAAACCATTGTTTTGTATATTTTGCCCAGTTTCTTGTTTGTGTCAGATAGGATAGTGAATTCAGCCCCCGTTTTTCCATCACGGTCAGAAGGGAATCTGTAACTAGTTCTATACTAGTTTAAAAAATGGATCTCACTGGAGCCCAATTTCTTACTTATACAATGAATTAATTGTATTTCATGTATATTATATAATATTGCTCTATTAAGGGGAGATGGTTAAATCACATTCAAATGATTACAATAAAACACTTCACTGTCTTTCGGAAAATACTTGTTCGGTGTCGGTTAAAGGGAAACTGTTATCACAAATTTGCTTTATCAAGAACCAGGAAGTACAGTGAGATCAACATTAGATTTTGAGAAATAGTGTTACGAGTAGGAGACTATATATTGTAGGTATCCGATTGGAAAACATACTCGTCAGAATTGTCTTGCTGGATTAGTTTGCTCTACTAGGCCCCTTCATCATTTGATGTGATGTCAGCTACCACTAACAGCACAATTGCTTTTCTACCAAGAACTCACATTTTTTTGGCATTTTTAATGTGCTTACTAGCTTTTGCTATAGTGCTAGGAAATGCTGTGGTCATTCTAGCTTTTGTGGTGGACAAAAAGCTTAGACATCGAAGTAATTACTTTTTCCTTAACTTGGCCATTGCTGACTTCTTTGTTGGTAAGTCATATATCTTTATTTCAGGTAATCATTTCTGACTATAATTTATTTCTAGAACCTTAAAAATAAGCTTTTGTTATTTCAAGGGACTGTATAGAATTAGGGATTTTAAAAACAAAAAGTTTAAGTACTAAGGTTCTGGGGAGGCTCCATGGCATTTTAGGGGAATAGTATATATATATATGTAAGTCAGGTTTGTAGGAGAATTTTCATTTGAAAACTGTTTATTTTCTTTTTATAGAATAAAAACAAGTCTGGAATAGTTCTAAAATTGTTTTAATATAAGAGTTACTTGTTTCTAGAGCCATCTTCCTTGGATGTTTAGGCTTATAAGTATGTGTAGAAGAGTTAGATGATGATATTGTTTATAGGAACTCCTAATATAATTTAACTTGTATGTAGCTACATAAATGCTTTTGTATATGTTACAGTGAAACAAAAGTCATAAAATATTTATGTTATTGCCTAGAACATAGAGTTTCTCAACAAATATTAGCCTTCTTCTCTTTTGATTTCTCTGCAGTTATGTGTCAACTCCAACCAAAGTCACAAATGTCAGTAGATTACTTACCCATGTGTAAGGACTGTTAGCTATTCAAGTATGATTAGCTAATGAGGAGATTTATAGAAGACTGAGTCTCTTTAGTAAAGTTCCAATGTAGGGGAATGGATAAGAGACATTCACCAGTGACTGTAACAGTTTAGAGTGTTGTGGGAACCACAGAGACCTACCAAGTGCTGTGGGTGGTCAGAGGAGAGAGAGCACCTTTGGTTTGTGCATGGTAGCATCTGAAGTGAACTTCAAAGGATGGGTAGAATTTCCATAGGCAGAGATGGAGAGGGGAGGAGTATTCCAAGAATTAGCAAAGACATGCTGGTGGAAAATCATTGGGTGTGTCTTCCTAAGTGTGAGCTGTGGGCTGGCTGGTGTGGAAAATGGCTATATGGGATCAGTAGGGCATGAAGTTGGAGTAGTTGGAATATAATGAAGGCTCTGATGTGTCCGGATGGGAGGCCAGGGTAGAAATCTAGATTTTTAAAACAATTGAGTGACTGGATGGAGCGAAGCTTTACCTCAGAGGCATGAGCAGAGATGGAACAGGTGGGAGAAGCTGGAACAAGGGCAGCTTGGTTTCAAAAATAACACCACAGCTAAGGCACAAGTCGCAAGGTAGGGCTCTGAGCTGCGATGAGGGTGAAAAGGAAGCTTGAGAAGCAGAGCTGCAAGAGCAGAGTTGGGCAGGAGAAAGAGAAAAATGAGCTAAAGATTGAGTTCAGGAGACCAGACAAGTATGGCACGATTGATGGGAATAGGGGGCATTTGGAAAGGCAGTTTATACTTCACATATTGTCCCCATAAATGTTCTGGAGAAAACCTCGTCACAGCGTAGAAATGACTGGGTCACAGATGAAGCTAGTGAACCAGTATGGAAGTATTGCAAAAAGGCAACAGTTTCCCCATTTCTCTCCTCAGTTCTGCCTCTCCAGGTCACCCGCATTAACAGCATGACATAGATCATTCCACATCATTCTCTATAATCACAGAAACACATAACTATGCAAGTATATTTCTGTGAACAGAGAGAATATTCTGCTATAAATATACTTATCCGTCTTTTTCTTCTTTCCAGAACTGTACACCTTTTAGATAATACTTAGCACTTAAAGTCAACTATGTATTTTGACTACCTAAAAGGGAATGGTGGTAGGGAAGAATGGGGGTAAAGCTATACCCAACTGAGACAGCCCAAGGCCTGAAGTTTTTAAACATAGATGGTTTCAGATAAGAATAGCACGTTTCCTTGTACTGCGCAATGGAAGCATCATGGTAGCCCCACCATCATGGGCTTAGGCACCACAGTATAAATGTATGGTTTATCTTATGGAAATGTCCCCGCTGATGTAGTTATTCAGCAGTTCTGGGCGTTCCCCTCCATTGGCAGGTGGCTGGGAAAAGAAATGGCTTTGCTGCTGATGAGAGAACCGGGCACAAGCCAGAATCTGTTACTCAGCCAGTCTCCTCCTTCACATTTCCCGTGCCCCTTGCCAGCTTTATCCAGAGGTCCACTTATTTGACGGCATTTGCCATGACTACAAAAGGATTAGAACCTTCTGTAGAACCTTCTCTGATGAAAACTTTCTGTAACAAGATTGGAGTTTTGTGTCGAGGCTGTTCTTTTTCCTTAGCCATGCTCAGAAGTGGGCTTTTTGGCTCTGAGCCTGGAGGCTCGTGGCAGTTGTGGTGAGCCAGGGCAGAACTCATGTAGTTATAAGGCAGCCATTCTTAGGACTTGTGGTCAGGAGACCTTGAGCTCCGGAACCATGTGGGTGCCTTGGAGCATCACTTGTGCTGGGTATTTATGGGCTTTTGGTTGAATGCTCTTTTCTTACAGGTTTCGAAAATAGTACCCAAACAGCTTCTTAGGCTGAATGTCATGTTGGAAAGCAAAGATTTATTGAGGAAAAATTCCAGTACCAGCTACATTGATAGAAATACATCTCATCTGCACACTATTCCAGAAACAAAGTACCATCAATATATACAAATATATAGAGGCATCTATAAAATTGGTATCACATGACTAATGTTTCCATTTGTGGGTACTTTCTTCACATCTGTACTTGTGTGGCCATTTATGGCCTGCATGACCATGTGACAGATGGCCCGGGCAGGATCTGCAAGGACAAAGGTATTTGGGACTGACAGAGTCTGAACCACATTTTCAGGAGGGCACAGTTGATCTTTAGTCCCTTCATGCCTCAGTTTAGGACTCTTTTCTTGTGAGTTAACTCAGGCTGCCAGAACATAAATGCCCTAGTCTAGGTGGCTTAACAGCAATTGACGTTATCAAGGTTCTGGAGGCTGGAAAGTACGAGCTCAAGGTGCTGGATGATTGGGTTCCTGGTGAACACTCTTGTCCTGATTTTTAGATGGCCTTCTCCATGCACTCTCACATGTCCTTTCCTCTGTATGTGCATGGAGAGAGAGAGCAAGCAAGCTGTCCAGTGCTGCCGCTGCTGCTTTTTTTAATGATTATTTATTTTTGAGAGAGAGAGAACACGCACAAGAGAGTGGGAGAGGGGCAGAAAGAGAGGGAGACAGAGGATCCAAAGCAGGCTCCACACTGACAGCAATGAGCCTGATGCAGGGCTTGAACTCATGAACTGTGAGAGCATGACCTGAGCCAAAGTTGGACACCCAACTGACTGAGCCACCCAGACACCCTTCTCTGGTACTTCTTCTTATAAGGACAATAATCCTGTTGGATTAGGGCTCCATCCTTATGACCTCATTTAACTTTACCTCCTTGTAGGCCCATCTCCAAATGCAGCGATCTTGGGGGTGGGGGGAGTGGAGCTTCAACAAATGAATTTGCGGGTGACCCAGTCATTCAGTCCATAACACCCTCTAGGCCTTCAGTGTTATCACCCTTTCCTCTATTGGCCCAAAACATTCACAGGGGCTTTTAGTTCCCTCCCTACCCCACCCCCCATTTTGACTGTTTTTTTCTCATGGAAGATGTAGTGTCTTAGCTCACAATACCAGACTAGTGGCAGTGTTCACACAAATTGGGCTTCCCCATCCTCATCTATTCATCCAATACTGGTTTATTTTGAAGCAGGCACTCTTTGGGGTGCTGGGGATGTGGCAGTGAAAATAGGGACAATATTCCCTGTCCTCATGGTGCTTCTGTTTTTACTAGGGGAGGGGCAGTGGGGAGACACGTAATACATATAAATAAGTCAATAAAGTTATATACCATTTTAGAAGGTGGTCATTGCTAGTGAGAACAACAGCAGGGAAGAGGGAGAGAAGGGCTGCTGGAGATGGAGGTTGCTATTTAAATGTCAGGGGCAGGGCTCACTGGTCAGGATGCTTCAGAGCAAACAGAAGGAGATTCTGAGGGAAGAGCATTTCATGCTGAGGAAAGTACAGGTGTGTGAGGGAAGCGTGTGCGGTGTTTTTGAGGCCTAAAGAACTAGGATGGAGGGAGTAGCAGGAAGTGAGACAGGAAAGATAGGGGGCAGGCTGGGGTGAGCAAGTGGCCTGGCCTTTCCTCCCATCCTTCTTCTCCCCTTCTCTCCTCCCCCGTTCCTTCACCTTCTTGTTTTTATTTCTTCACCATCTTCTCTTAATATAGTTTGCTTTCTCTCAGCCCCCACCGCCTAGATCCACCCCCTTAATGTGTCATGCCAAAGGCTTCTTACTCCTTTTAAGAAACTGGCTCTTAGTTTTCCTTATCAAGTCCATTTGACCCACAAGCATGCTTCCAGAGTGGAAGTTACAGAAACTCTTCAGAGTGGCTATATCTAGAAATATTCCCAATTCCACAGTTGTGGAATGAACCACAAATATCTCCACCACTCAACAAGATGGAGGCCCTGAGCATGGCGTTTGTGCAAAACCATCATGTAGAACACAAATGGACAGTGGGGTTTCATTAAAGCCAAAGGAATAAACTATGGCCTCTTTTAAAATGCTATTTCAAGCAGCAACTAAAGTTTTGAACACATCCAAACACACCTTTCCTCTTTCATCTATTTCAGAAAATGTGTGGACAAGATTTACTGAGCTCATACCCTTCCTTTAACGTGTAATGTTTATTTATTCTGTGTGTGTGTGTGTGTGTGTGTGTGTGTGTGTGAGAGAGAGAGAGAGAGAGAGCAGGGGAGGGGCAGAGAGTGAGGGGGAGAGAGGACCGCAAGCAGGTCTGCACCGACAGCAGAACCCATGAGCCATGAGATCATGACCTGAGCCGAAGTTGACCCTTAACCGACTGAGCCACTCAGGAGCTCCCCTTCCTTTAACGTTTAAATAGACAGTGGTGTCTGTCAGGCAAATGATTACTGGCATTGTACTCTTTGCTGTCATTTCTGTGGAGGAAATTTGTGTGTGTGTGTGTGTGTGTGTGTGTGTGTGTGTAAAATATTCATGTTGGGAATATTGGAAGCCACAACTGTGGGTCAAAATATAATATATGTCTCTGTTTTGAAGATACTTTGACTTATCTCAGGTGATTTATCTCAGATACTTTGATTTATCTTATTTATTTACCTATTTTATACCAGAGGCATGCGTGCGTATGCATGCACACACACATCTTTGAGATGGAAGACACCATAGGGAAGCTAAATTTAAAAATATAATTGAAGCATGAAATAAGCCAACAATTTGAACTACATGTAAGAACTGACTGGGGCTCCTGGGTAGTTCATACAGTTAAGTATTTGACTTTGGCTCAGGTCGTGATTTCGTGGTTTGTGAGTTCGAGCTCTGCGTCGGGCTCTGTGCTGACAGCTCGGAGCCCAGAGCCTGCTTCAGATTCTGTGTCTCCCTCACTCTCTGCCCTTCCTCCACCCACATTCTATCTCTCACTCTCTCTCAAAAGTAAATAAGCATTAAAACAAAAAAAGAACTGACACAAGTCTTCCATCTCCATGATGCCTTGTCTCTCATCTTTGTATGTGAATTTCGGTACAGAATGCTAAGTTCTACATCCCCTTTCCCTGGTGCTGAAACCACACCATCATATCCTCATGCCATCTTGTTTTGGGAGAATGTAGGGTTGCCTTCATCCTTCCCTTTCCTTCTCCTTTCTTTTTACCTTCACTATTGTTCTTTGTGATAGGCTAACTTGGTTCTCATGTAAAAATGGGAAATCCTGCCAAGTGCCTGATAAAATATGAAGATACTCACTGAGATTCCACTTAAAAGATTATATTCTCGGGAGTAGTGTTACCTGTCTGAAATGTCAATCCAGTGAAAAATTGCCAACAAAGCTAGAGAAAAGGGAACCCAGCGTAGTCATTTTTCTTAATTAGGCTATTTCTGTGCTAAGCTGAACCACTCACATATTTGTTCATTCAGTGAAGTGTAGCGATTAAAGTCAGGAGTCTTTTTTTTTTTTCTTAATGTTTATTTTTGAGAGAGAGGGTGAGAGTGTGTGCACAAGTCAGGGAGGAGCAGAGAGAGGGAGACAGAGCAATAGAAGCGGTCTCCATGTTGACAGCAGAGAGCCCAATGTGGGGCTCGAACTCATGACTGCATGATCAAAATCTGAGCTGAGGTCAGATGCTTAACTGGCTGAGCCAGCCAGGTGCCCCAGTAGAGAGTCTTGAAATCACATTGCCTAATTTCAAAGCCAATCTTCCATTTACTAGCTGAGTAGACCTTGGGCAATCATGTCTCCCTCTTGACCTATAGGTTCTTTATTGTCTAACTCAGCATAGTTTCTACCTTACACAGCTTCTATGAAAGTTTAATGAGGTGATATATGCAGCAGACATAGCACAATGTCTGGTATATAACTGCACAGTACATATCGGCTGTTATTAATTTACCTAAGTTAAATGTGTGAGCCACTGGGCAACTCTTAAGTGCTGTGAAAATGACAAAGATCAACTTATAACATGGTCCCAGGCCTCAGGAGAAACCATTGGAAAGAGGACAGAGGTACAAAGTAGCATGTATTTGTACCTGAGAGAGGGACTGATAAGCAAAGTGCCAGCACGTTCAGGTGACAGAGGGGTCCTTCTGCCATGGAATTTCCAAGAAAGATAACAAAGAGAAAGGCATTTTTTTTGTACTGAGTGAAGAATGAGAAGGAGGTAGACTTCTCAGTAGAAGAGAGGAGGATATTCTAGGAAGAACGAATGCTATTTGCAAAGGCAAAGGAGATATGAAACTACAAGCTGTGTTTGGTGGAATGCTGGCCCATCCTGTCTGGGTTGAATCATGAATGTGAAGATGACTTGTGCCGTATATGGCCGGACATGCAGGTCGGGACTTGAGCTTCATTTGGAAAGCAATAAGGAAACACATGATATTTATGACAGCCCTTGTAAAAATGGTATTGAAACAACATGTAGGAAATCAGTCCTGAGTTTGTTGATAAAACACTATGAATTTCTAAATTATCATCAAGCCATTTTTGGTCATGTCACATATGTCATTGTGTTGAATACCTCTTGGTAGTCATTGATAGTCATTGATATGTGCTTTTTTTTTTTTTTTAACCTTTTCCCTTTGTACAGGTGTGATCTCCATTCCTTTGTACATCCCTCACACGCTGTATGGCTGGAACGCTGAAAGTAAACTCTGTGTGTTTTGGCTCACTGTTGACTATCTTTTGTGTACAACATCTGTATATAACATTGTTCTCATCAGCTACGATCGATACCAGTCAGTGTCGAATGCTGTAAGTCAAAACATTAATTTACCTTCTTTAAACATTGTGTACTTGTAAATTGTGGGTCCCCAAGCAAAAATTTTTTAAGTGTAATTTTTTGTTTAGTTGGCAAACCTTAGAGGAGCCCGATTATCTTTCAGTTACCTGGCACTACATTTTCATTGGCCCTTAGTGAACGATTTCTGTGTGTGATTTGGCTAAGTCTCCCCCCTAGGTACTGCTGAAGTTGGAAGGCATCGAAGAAAATCCAAGGCGAGTTGTCAGAGGTGGTATGTACCGAGTCCATAGTAGACTGTAGACATGAGGGTCACAGTAGATTTATCAGTTTCTTTTTTTCCTTTGTTTTTTAATGTTTATTTATTTTTGAGGGAGAGAGAGAGAGAGCCAGTGTGAGTGGGGGAGGGGCAAAAACAGAGGGTGACAGAGAATCTGAAGCAGGCTCCATGTTGTCAGCCCAAAGCCCTATGTGGGGCTTGAACCTATGAACTATGAGAAATCATGACCTGGACCAAAGTCTAACGTTCAACCAATTGAGCCACCCAGGCACCCCTATCAGTTTCATTCCTTACACAAACTAAGACCTGAATAATTTTCCCAGATGGGATCTAGTGGGCAAATAGAAAGATGCCCACACTTTTGAATGTCATGAGAAAATCAATTTTGAATGGCCAAAGGAAAAGATAGTGTACAGGGAAGCTATAGATTAGATAGTGAGACCAACCTGAAAGATCAACTCCTAGTGCCAAGGTAGGACCCATGTCAAGAAAGTCTGAATTAATCCAGGATTCAGAATAGCCCCATTAACATTAGTGGCAGTTCATAAGGCAGCTAAATTGATCAGCAATAGAACAAGGGTAAAAACAAGGGCAGATGCAAGTAAAGACAGAGGGTGAAAGGGGTAGAGAAATATGGGACAGTAATCTGACATCTAGGACACCTAGATGGGCAACTTCATTCTTGAGTCCCAGGACCCAAATCTTTGGGGGATGCTACTCTGTGCAAAGGATTTTGCTGAGTGCTGGGATACAGAAATGAATTAGCAGAGTCTCTACTTTTTTTTTTTTAAGTTTATTTATTTTGAGAGAGACAGAGACAGCATAAGTTGGGAAGGGGCAGAGAGAGATAGAGAGGGAGAGAATCCCAAGCAGGTTCTGTGCCATCAGCACAGAGCTCAATGCAGGGCTCAAACCCATGAAACCATGAGATCATGACCTGAGCCGAAACCAAGAGTCAGATGCTTAACCGCCAACCAGGTGTTTGAGTCTCCACTTTTGAGGAGCATAATAGTCTAATGTGGAGACAGCTCCAGAAACAGATGGGTTCAGTACTAAGCGTGGTGTGGGAGGTGTTGATAGGATAGGGACAGCTCTGACTTGGGAGGCCTGCCCAGCTTAGAGCAGACAGGGTGGGGAGGGCATATTGCGTAAGGCAAGGATAAGCTGCAGGCACAAAGATGAGGTTCGAACAAGATAAAAATCGATCTTTCTGTCACAGAACAGTCCAGGAAAGGTGGGAGGCTCTGCTTCAGGAACCCACCCAGGGGCCTAGGCTAACCATGTCAGTCTGTACCCTCTAGGGGAGGAGGTCAGCAAACTTCTGCTAGAAAGGGGCCTAAGGTCTCTGTTGCAACCGCTCAATCTGCCGTTGTGGTACAAAAACAGCCATGCATAATATGTTAAAACAAAACAAAACAAAACAATTCATTCATTGTGTTCCAGTAAAACTTTATTTATACAAACAGGTGAGGGGCCACGTTTGTTTCATGGACAGTAGTTTGCTGACTCCTGCTCTAGGTCATTATTCTCCTCTGCATGGTCAAAGTCAGGTTGTTGTCACTCCAGGTTCTAGAAAGAATGGGCAAAAGACAGAAATCCAAGGCAAAGGATTTTTGTCTTAACCAAATTGTACAGAATCATACAATCATTTCCACTCGCATTTCACTGTGACAGTTAGTCACATGGTCCCATCTCACTGCAAGAAAAGCTGGGAAACGTGGTCTCTAGCTGAGCTGCCCTATTGCCAGGAAGAAGGGGAGAATGAATGTGTTGGGACATCCAGACACCTGGCCTTGGCTACTTCATTGACAGCAGGGTCCACTGTAATTTGTACTGGAAAAACTATGGAGAGACTGCAGATCAGCTTGGAGGAACAATTTAGATGCCTCTAAGCTTGTGTTTTTTAAATTGCAGGTTATGACCCACTGTGGCATCATAAAGTCAGTTCAGTGGGTCTGATCACTTTTAAAAAAATGTTTATTTATTTTTGAGAGAGAGAGAGATAGAGAAAGCAGGGGAGGGACATAGAAAGAAGGAGACAGAGAATTCCAAGCAGGCTCTGCACTGTCAGTGCAGAGCCCAACATGGGCCTTAATCTCATGAACCATGAGATCATGAGCCAAAATCAAGAGCCAGATGCTTAATTGAATGAGCCACCCAGGTACCCCCACTTTGTTTTTTAATGAAAAAGTGCAGGGAAAAACATACTAAAAACAATTTTTAAAAATTAGAGCATAAAATGTCAGAATACTTTGTACATAATAAATGTGTTATTTTATGAATACTTCAGCCTATGAACTTAGTTATGATGTAAAATGTATTTCTTTTTTATTAAAAATTTTTTAACGTTTATTTATTTTTGAGAGAGAGAGAGGGAAAGAGAGACAGAATCCGAAGCAGGCTCCAGGCTCTGAGCTGTCAGCACAGAGCCCAACGCAGGCTCAAACTCATGAACCATGAGACCATGACCTGCACAGAAGTCAGAGGCTGAACTAACTGAGCCACCCAGGCATCCCTAAATATATTTCTTATTTTAGGTCAGTCAAAATGTTCAAAAAAGAGTGTTCTAATTCATAATCTTTCCCATTTGTGTTTAAACCTTTCCTTTTTTTTCTGTGTTAATGTTTAATTTTTAGCCTTTACTGGGTGTTCCTACTTAACATTCACTAGGACATTCTTTCACTGGACATCTGAGCTCTTAGGTCTACCCCAGGTTTGTGCTAAGGTAAGGGACAGCTTGTGCAGTTAGGAGAAGTGTGTAGAAGTCACAGAGGCAGGGGTGTCTGGGTGGCTCAATCGGTTAAGTGTCCAACTTTGGCTTGGTTCATGATCTCACAGTTCATGCGTTCAGTCCCCACCATGGGCTCTGTGCTAACAGTATGGATGCTGCATGGGATTCTCTCTCCATTCCACCCCTGTCTCTTCCCTATTTGCTCTCTCTCAAAATAAATAAATAAGCTTAAAAAGAGAGAGAAAAGAAGTCACAGAGATAGAAAGACTGATGTCCAGAGAGAAAATGAGTAGGTTTGTTTTCTAGTCTTGCCCTGAGGACTTCCCCTGACCACAGAAGCTGTCCGTGTGGTGAGGGCTGGGCCAACTGGAGCCATGGTCCTTAGCACATAGCACAGAGTTGATTGTGTAACATCAGTGCATGGATGCTCACGAGGGGCACTCAGGCAGCTCTTGTACCTCTGTTGGCTAATAGTTCAAATACAGCTGTGTGAGCCAGGAAGCCCTCAAAGACCACTGAAACTCATAGGAAGTGGTTGTGGGGAAGCTGAGCTCTTGCTGTAGTTCAAAGTAGTGTGATAGGGCAGGGTCGTGGGCTGGACCTGGGAAATGGTGATCTGACAAGAACTTGGAAAGGGAAGGCTCAATGCAGATGGCAGTCCATGATTGCAGTGCTCTGACACATTTTCTGGAGGGCAGATTTCCATGTGGCTGAATTAAGGGTGGGTGGGGGGAAGTGGAACAGTGTCATTGGAAGCAGTGGGAATTAAAATGTATGCAGAGTTAAGATGGTAAGTGGAGAGTATACTGTAGATGAAGGAAGCTTGACAGGAAAATCAAGACCATGAACATATTGTGCTCGTTTCCTAGGGCTGCTGTAATAAAGTACAACACGCTGGGTGGCTTAAAACAACCGAACTTATTCTCTGGAATAAATTTAATATCTGGAGACATGAAGTCCAAAATCTAAGTGCATGCAGGGCAATGCTCTCTCTGAGGCTTCCGGCAGCCGGTTCCATGCCTTTCTCTTAGCTTCTTGTATGACTGGCCATCTTTGGCTTTCCTGGCATTCCTTGACTTGTAGATGCATCACTCCAGCCTCTACTTCCATCGTCCTGTGGGAGTCTTCCTGTGTGTCTATGTGCCTCTTACAGGGAGGCTCACCCTAACCAAATATGACCTTATCTTAACTTGATTATATCTGCAAAGACCCTCATTGTGAATGAGGTCATTTACATGGACACAGGGTGTTAGGACTTCAGTGTATCTTTTTGGAGGACACAACTCAACCTGCAACAGGTACTTAGAAGGGCTCTGCAATCCCATCTTATTATTAACAGTGTGTTCCGCAAGCTGCTTTGCCTCATAAAAGAAATCTGATTGATAGAAATATTTTTGGGGCGAGGAAGGAAGCAGGGTAAGAGGCAATATTCTGAATACATGAATCGATTCTGTCGTGGGTGAGGACTGGGCCATTGATTGATGTCAGAAAGGCCACACCAACTGGCTTGGGCCTGGATTCAAGCAATGCTTGAGCTATCTGTCAAAAATGCTACCCAAAGATGAAGAGATGGGCCCTGTCTTCTCAATTCCCTTGGATGTCCATTATCCCATTTGACCTTATGCATAATAGAAAAGAGATCACTTTCCAGCATATTGCATCACATCATTACACAGGCTGAGCAGAGCAATTAAAAAACTAAATGCCATTTTATGACCATCTGGGTATTGTTACCATCTTCATAATCATTAGATTTAGTGCAAGAAATGTATTAATTAGCGGCATGAGAAGCAGAAGGAAAAAAAACATATTGTATATGGGAACTTGTGGTCAGCACCATATGCATTTTAGCTTAGCCTAATAAATACTAGTAATATGGGGGGAAAAATCCCACTTCCCTACATTTTTAAAAATAACTTTTTTTTTTTTTAAATCCAGCTTCCTCGTACCTCTAGCCAATTGGTGAGCCCTTCTCAGTCTGCACAATCCATCACAGAAAGACAGCGCTGGACGTTGTTGCACCTTTTTAATAAAAATGAGTAAACACCATAGCATGAGACTTAGAAACTCAGAGAAAATAGTACGTGAGCAATAGTGGAAGGGGGGGCATGTTCCCATTTCATGAGAAAATAATTTCCTTTCCCTTGAGTGAGGAAGTCGGAGAAATACTGAACATATGAGCTAGAAGGACCCTTACTGATCTAAAAGAAGCTTAGGGAGGTTGTCTGTCCCAGGTTCCCTCAAAAAACTCTTGGTTCATGTGTTTGTGTCTCATACAGGGTGGTTGACCTTTTAGATTGCTTATCCAGTTACTCAGGCCAGGTAACTTCCCTACCTCTAGCACATCCCTGAAACTCCTGAGGGCCTATGATATGCCTTATGCAACCAACCTATGTTGATTATAATGGGTATAATTTATTTGCTCTCTTTTAGGTATCTTACAGAGCTCAGCACACTGGGATCTTGAAGATCGTGGCTCTGATGGTGGCTGTCTGGGTGCTGGCCTTCTTAGTGCATGGGCCACTAATTCTAATTTCAGAGTCTTGGAATAATACCAGTAACAGAGTCTCAGAGAAGAAGGAATGTGAACCTGGATTCTTTTCTGAATGGTACATCCTTGCCATCACGTCACTCTTGGAATTTCTGGTTCCAGTCTTCTCAGTGGCCTATTTCAACATATACATTTACTGGAGGCTATGGAAGCGCGGTAATCTCAGTCGGTGGCAAAGCCAGCCTGGACTCACTTATCCTGCCCCACCCAGTAACAGTGGACCCTCATTCAGGGGTGGACTGTTTTCAAGAACATCTCTTCCTGAGCTGAAGGAAACAGCAACATCTGTTCCTTTGAAGAGACACGGAAGAAAGAGCAGCCTCTTGTTTTCTCTAAGAGCCCAGATGAATAACAATATAATTGCTTCCAAAATGGCTTCTCTTTCCCATTGTGATTCCCTGTGTCTTCACCAAAGGGAACACATTGAACTGCTCAGAGCCAGGAAATTAGGCAAGTCACTGGCCATTCTCTTAGGTGTTTTTGCCTTTTGCTGGGCTCCATATTCTCTGTTCACGCTCATTCGTTCAACTCAGAAGCCAGAACAGCGTCTTCAAACAATTTGGTATAATATCACCTTTTGGCTTCAATGGTTCAATTCCTTTGTCAATCCTTTTCTGTATCCATTGTGCCACAAGCATTTCCAGAAGGCTTTCTTGAAAATATTTAATGTGAAAAAGCATCCCATACCATTACACAATCGGTCAATGTCCTCTTAAAGATGATTTTATCGTTTACAAAAATTTCAGTCTTAAGCTCACTAATGAATTTGATCTGACATTCATTTTTCCCTTTCCACTAGGCAGGGCAAAATGAGAGAAATCCATAATATTGTAAACACTTGCAAACCTAAAAAGAATTCAGAAACTGGAAGTCAAGGGAAAATAACTAGAAATATTTTTTTGTAAACTCATAGCCACAAATGCACTATGCTTTCTTACTCATTGCCTCTTCCTTGTCTTTTAGATCTTGATATAACATTGGTTGTGAAAGTCAAGAGTTCTTGTTTTCTTTGTTCAGTGTTTGCTGTAGTGTTAAGTGATTTCCCTTTTATTTTATAGGGATGACAAACTGGCAAGTTTTAAAGTCAGTTTTCCTAAAGTATATAACAGAAAAGGGAGCTATATTGTCCTCTTTGCTGGAAGTGGGAAGGCATGTTGGGGTTTGAATTGTCAGGAGTAGGGAGCAAGTGTGTGCCCAGATGGAAAGGTGGAAGGCACGTGTACTTCCAGACTCTGTTCCTGATCCCAGAAAAGAAGAAAGTGTAGGGAGGGAAGATCAGGTAACTGTGCTTCTCAAAGTTCCTCAGAGGGGCCGGCAGTCATAGGATAAGAGAGTAAGTGACAGACAAGATCACCAACTGGTTGAAAAGATGGCTTTCCTTTTGTCCTTCCTGCCCTCTCCTTCCAACTTCCACATCAGCTAAAACCTCTGTGAGAAAATATGGAAGAAAGAGAAAGGTGAAGAGATGGCAAAAGACTATATGACTTAACTCAATGTAGCTGGCTTAACATTCTCAGAACTAGTAGATGTCAATAATTACTAATAAAATATACTTCTGTGTTTATTTGATGTCTTTAACTTGTGTGTAGTGCTGAGAGTGATTACTCTATAGGCCATTAGTATAAGTTATACCTTGTTGACGAGTCACATTTTCTTAGTCTGGTGATGTTTTATATTTTTATTATTATGAATTCTTCTTCCTCCCCTTCCTCCTCTCCCTTCTTCCCCTCCCCCTCCTCCTTCTTTTCCTCCGTCTTTTCATCTATCTTTGTCATAAAATTTTATTTTGATTTCATTGTTAATTTTATCTCTCTTGTAAGATTTTATTAGTGTTTCTTTGGTAACTTCTCAGAGTTCCTATACAATTTAGTCATTTCCATATTTCTTAGACCTTTTAAACCTTGGTTAATTTCAAACACTAGAATAAGAAAATTCTTTAAGTACATAAATGCTTAGATATGCCCATAATTTTTATATGCAATTGTGCCTTGCATTAAGTGCAAAAATAGGAGACACGTGTTTAATATTCAATAGTAATCTTGAAAAATTGAGAAATAAACCCTTATAAATACACAAGTTTTTATAAAGTTGTTACTTGTCAGCTATTGTTTTTGACATTAATAAATTAGTAGTTGTAAAATTCATATGATTACTGTAGTCATGAATGTTTATTGAATTGTGTGGCCCCAGGAAAACTTTTTCCAGTGGAACCCTAGGGGAAACACACCTAAATATTCATAATATATTTTCTAAACTATGGAAAATATATTGTATCTCATTCAAAGATGTCATCAATGTAAAACATACTATTATACCCTTTTGCCACTATAAAAGAAAATGCTGCAAATTGTCTATGAAATAATATTTGTTTTTTTAAAAAATGTTTATTCATTTATTTTTGAGAGAAAGCACATGAGCAGAGAGGGGCAGAGAGAAAGGGAAAGAGAGAATCCCAAGCAGGCTCCATGCTCTCAACACAGAGCCCGACATGAGACAAACCGTGAGATCATGACCCGAGCCGAAATCCAGAGTAGGTGCTTAACCCCTTGAGCCACCCAGGTACCCCAATGAAACAATACTTTAAAAATCACATTGATAGTAAGTTCCATTCAGATTTCAGAATTGTCAAAAGGTGAGCAATACGTGGCTTGGAAGTGATGAAATACGATACGTGTATGATGAATGAACAGAGCAGGGCTAATCCTCTGTGAAATGAGAGTTTGAATAAATTAATACTTTTGATGGTACCTTCATGTATTCATTAAACATTTATTAGGAGACTACCATGTGTTAGCTACTTAAATGTAAAGATGCCTATGAACTTTGCTGATTTAAATTCCTCAGGGTAAGAATTTTACTTTGGGGTTCTCTTACTATAGTGTTAGGCACCCCACAGGTGCTCAGTAGATATTTATTGAAGGACTTCATTAGGCATTTTCCTTAAAAATGGAATATAAATTCCAGGTTTGAAATCTAAGTCTTTTAAATTTGCCCTGGAGAAACCTTAAAATATATTTTTTCATTATAAGTAAAGTAATATGTACTAATCATAAAAAGACAATAATAAAATAATTCCTATAACCAAGAAACAGTCATAATTATTAGTTTGGCATAGGTGTTTCTAGGGAAAAAAATAGCATAGTTCTATTTTTTAGAAACACATGTTTGTATATCTAGACTTCTCACAATATCCTGAGTTTTTCCCTAAAATGAAGTCTTCTATTCTAGTATGAGTAATTACTGTCCCTTTGCCACATATAGAGCTGACTTATACTTATTAAATTTTAAATAAAAATACTTAATTTCAAAATAATTTAAAATACTTCAATATGTAATACTTAAATATTTTTAAATACATATTTTTAAAAATTTAAAATACTAGCTCATTTTAAATCCAGACCCAACTTCACTGGTAAAATTAGCAAAACATTCCTTAGAATGTTGTTTCTTAAGTGTTGACTTTGGTTGACCTGTTTAGAAATAGATTCAAGAAGAGGACGCCTGGGTGGCTCAGTTGGTTAAGCATCCGACTTTGGCTCAGGTCACGATCTTGCGGTTTGTGAGTTGGAGCGCCTCATCGGGCTCTGTGCTGACAGCTCAGAGCCTGGAGCCTGCTTCGGATTCTGTATCTCCCTCTATCTCTGCCCCTCCCCTGCTCATTCTCTGTCTCTCTTTCTCTCTCTGTCTCTCTCTCTGTCTCTCTCAAACATAAATAAACATTAAGAAAATAGATTCAAGAAGAGTGAAGACAGATTTAGGGATCTAAATGCCAATTATGTCTGACACTTCAGGTCTAGTCTTTTTACATATCATGAGGACTTTGATACAAGTAACAGAACAATCATAACTATTTTACAGAAGTCCTTTTTGTGGCTGGTTGGTAACTATTCTCTTGTAGCAAGGATCTTGGCATTTGATGAAATTATTTTTCACATTATGATTTCAGATGGTGGGTGGGGCTGGATACTTTCCTCCATTTAGTTACTTCCATTTACCTTCTGACATGGGAATTACAACTCCTGCTCTATATGTAAGAAGAGTGATTTCTGAAACTAGTGAGTACCCCCAGGAAATACAAACGTGGCTTTTTCTGTTTGAAATGTTATGTTCTGGGGCTCTTTCAGTTAGGATTCCTTAGGTACCAGTGACACAAACACCATTTGAACTACCATGGTTCAAAGTGAGCGTCTTGGTTCCTATTGCCAAAGTGCAGAAAGGCAATGGTATGAGACAGTACAGGGACTCACAACTTTATTTCATATGAGGCTTCTCCATAAGGCTGGGATCATGAATGCTGTTCTTCTTGATCAGCTAGGGACAGCACCTCTCCTAGTAATGACGAGGAAAAACAAATCTTGGAAAATATCAGTTGAGTGCCCAGTGGTTACCTTGTGTTAATATCTCAGAAGCATTCCCTGTAGGGGAGATTAGATGCTAGTACTGCCCTCTTAGGTTCGTTACTCCTTCAGACTAATCTCTGTGGTAGGTTGGTAAGGCCAGCCCATGCAAACTTGGTGACCTGGAGAGGGAGAAACAGTGTCCTTACATGAAGAGAGGTACGGTCACCAAAAGAAGAGGAAAGAGATAATAAAAATCTATTCCAAGGGATATTCAAAAATCGGGGATGTCGTGAAGATCCGAGTGTCTTCCTTATACATGGTGTGCACCTGCCCCAATGGACACAGTTCTCTATCCCTTCCTGTAACCCCACCCTTTGCAATGTGATTTTGCAGCTGAGCCCATCTTAGAGCAGCTGGACCCCAGCTGGGCTGTGGCCCAGACCAGAAGAATCACTCGGCTAAGCCAGAGACTCCTGAGCAATGGAGAGACACTGCATTGTGAGAGTGGTCTGGATTCAGCAATAGCTAGCCAACACGGCAAGCGCTTACCCTACTGTGTTGATTTCCAGAGGGCTGTAGATACTTATGTCCCTCATTCTTTTGCAGGAGCTAAGAGACATAAACAATCTTATGTAATGGGACAGGCTTTTTTTTGAGGCCACACCTACTTCTCCACAGGAACATAGTCCTTGCAAAATGACTTCATAGCAAAGGCTAATTGATTTTGAAATATCATCAACTACACAACATAACACTAGTAGGGTGGTGCAACTAGCCGTGAGGATAAAGTTGCATTGTGGGGATGGAAGAGAAAGGGCATCACAAGTTTCCACAAGCTGTTCTTAGCTATGTACATCTCTCCCTTAATTGCCTCCTTCAATTTCTTCAAGTTTCTACCTTAAGTCAGATACTGCAATGTAAGGACTGATTATGCGGTTTATGTTAAATAGTCTCTCTTTTTTGGATGCTTTTCTCCTTGCTCAGGCCTGTAGTCATTCCTCTCTATGCCTAAACTTCTACTAGGAGAGAAGAGGGGAAGGGAGAAAGCTTTTTTTTTTTTTTTTTTTTTTTTTTTTTACAAATAGTTTATTGTCAAATTAGTTTCTACATAACACTCAGTGCTCATCTCCAAAGTGCCCTCCTTCATGCCCATCCCCCCTCCCCCCCACATCCATCAGTCCTCAGTTTTTGTCAGCATTCAAGAGTCTCTCATGGTTTGCCTCTCTCCCTTTCCCCCACCATTTCCGCCCTTCTGGGAGAAAGCTTTAAATATAACCAGCCAGTCTGGTTTGTGGTAAGTAGCTCTATGAAGGATTAGCGGAAGAAGCTGAACTTATCTTGTTCAGATTGTAATTCTGCCTTTCTCTGTTCTCTTAACCACAGATCACAAGGAGTTGACCATAAAAGGAAACATTCTGCAGGAAAATTTTGGGTAACTGTTAGTTAACCAGAACCTAAGTTAATTAAGCAGATCAGGTCAGTTAACCTGTGGAGGTATTACAGAGCCTAACTGACCTTGGGGGAAAGAAAGTACCCAATTCCAGCAGGCAGTAGCTCTCCTGACCCATTTAACTGCGGAGAAAAAAATCCAGAAATTTTGTCAAGTTCACAGTCCAGAGTCACGGGCTCCGTAAAAGACCCAGACCTAATCACAGGACTCAAGAGCACTTCCTCTCCCCTCCCCTGGCCATCACATTATAAAAGCCTATTTACAGCAGTTCCTTTTATTCAGTACATCCAGTCTGGCTATCAGAAAAAATGACAAGGCATACCAAAAGGCAAAAAACACAATTCGAATAGATCGAGCGAGCATCAGAACCAGACATGGTAGAGATCTTGGAATGATCAGACCGGGAATTTAAAACAACTATGATGAATGTGCTAAGGGCTCTAATGGATAAAGTCAACAGCATGTAAGAACAGATGGGCAATGTCAGGAGAGCAGTGGAAATCCTAAGAAAAGTTTAGAGAATTGTTGAAACATTTTTCTGATATTCAGCCTTACCTGAAGCTTTTAGTAGTCAAGATAAAGACATAAAAGATACACTTTTTCCTTGATAGAAAGGCTTTTATCAGGTTCTTCTTAGAACCTAGAAGACAAACGTTTTTAAAAATGATTACTCCATCCTTCCTGTGCTCTGCCCTAATCTAGGCCATCTGAGTCATGGCCAAGGTGGCAGTTAAGCAACTGGTTTGATGTCCTCTTTCCTAGCTTCCTGTTT